GACTTAGAGTAGCCATGAAGCGCAGTGCACGCGTTGCCGGCATTGCTAACATTGAAAATGGCGTCATCAGCATCCAGCTCCAGAACTTGTCTGTGTCATCGTCCCCACCGGCCTCCTCGTCGCCTCCTTCCGCTTCGGCTTCGCAAGGGCCGCCTTCAGTCGGTAGCATCTTGGCCAGAATCCAGGACGGCACCTTCGCCACGCATGAGAGCAAGAGAGAGCTGACCGGACGGCAAATCATAAGCCATCTGTGTTATCTCCAGAATCGGCTTGGTCTCACTGTGGGGCTAAAGGGCGACTGGAGCCCGACGGCTCAGGATGGCTAAACTCACCAAAGAAAGGCTTCAAGCAGAAGACTGGTAATGAAGCTTCGGCCATCGCCAACACGGCCGCTGAGACCATGGACAGTGAGACCACGGACCGTGCCATTGCGGATGCCCCAGCCATCGACACGACCGCGGAGACGATGGACAATGAGACCACGGACCGTGCCGCTGCGCACACCCCAGCCACCACGACTCCAGCCACCACGACTCCGGCAACCGGAGACAACAAGGCCACGGACCACAACAACGCGAACGGCAAGTCCGACGACTCCTCCGGCGCATCGTCCTCGTCCTCTTCGGGATCCTCCTCATCATCCAGTTCGTCTAAGCCTAAAGCAAAGCGCGGCTTACTTGCAAAGGTCAAGAAGCTAAAGGTTGCGAACTCCCAGTTGGAGGCCACTTTGGACGAGAAGGACGCCTTGAGTGCAAACTCGAGCAGCTGAAGACTACAAACTCCCAGACAAACTCCCAGTTGGAAACCGCCTTGAAGGAGAAGAACGGCTTGAGTGCAGAAGTCGAGAAGCTGACGACTGCGAACTCCCAGTTGGAAGCCGCTTTGGAAGAGACCTCGATGGATCTCTTCTTAGCCAATGAGGCACTGGGGTGCAACGCACCCTAGAACATACTCTCGGCAATGTTCCTGTAGTTGTCTCCCTGTAGCTCTTGTGCGTGATGGGGTAGGAAGCTGCTGCAGAGGCGGAATGAAAAAGATTTGCACGCAGGGTTGCACGCAGGGTGTCTATTTCTTGCTAAGAGGTGACTAAACAGTTTGTTGCGCATGGCACTTTGCAAACATGCTTTCTCTCGCAAGATTCCAGTTCATCCTACCAGTCCTCTCGCCGGCCCAACAAGATCATGTCGTCCACCAAGCCTCCTGCCGACTTCGCTCAAGCATGCTTGCTTGCGGCGCCATTGGATTTCCATTCACTGGAAACACCCGTGATTCATTCACGGACCTCGGAGCTTGGTAGCTTAGACCTCTTGCCGCTTCGATCAGCAACAAGTGCCACGTCCTTGAAATCCGTTGTTGAGCTTGTCGAACCCATGTCTGCGGGAGAGCTTGACTTCGGTCACACATATCACCTCGTCTCCACCAAACAGCATGAGGACCTTCCTGCCCCGTGTCTGTGAAGTTTGGTGTTGGCCTGAGGTTCAAAATGCAGCTTGTGGGGCAACAGTTGCCGGATGGTTGGTGGGCCTTCTTGAAGCACTTTTTCGAAGACAAGATACCCTCTCGGCTTTTGCAAACCTCTCTTCCAGGTGAGCTCAAGATCATCAACTACGGCACGAACTTCCGCAGCGGTATCAAGGGCTTCCAGTACATGTTGGAGCATGTTGGCCAATGGGGTGTTCTCTGGTTCCAGACTCAGGTGAAGGAGCCCAAGAAGAAGACCAAAGAGGCATCGGAAGGGTTTCGATTTCATCCGTTCAAGCGGACCTCGCTCGAACATGCACAACAAGCAGACCGAGTGGACTGAGGTTGAGATTCATAAGGAAGGCAGTCCCATATTCGGTTGGTCTGCAGGCCTGGTGAAGGAGTTGCTTCGCGGCTATGCTTCCTCCAATGTGTTCGCAGACTACACTAGCAACTTTTTCGTCACTCTACATGACCTCCAAGGATGGTTTCTGCATGATGTTCTCGTCCCTCTCCTTCCTACCGTGAAGTCCAAGACCCTCGTCTTGATGGGACTTGCTGAGAAAGGCAAGACTCCCGCCGCCCAGGCGCTTGCGCTTGCTATGTCCGAGTTTTGGACTCTGGTCGACGACATGGCTTGGGACGTCAAGCCTGCCTTCCGTCTGTGTTCTAGCTTGGACCAGCTGCGTGGGGAGCCTGGAAAGAAACATATTCCGGACATATTGGACGACCCCGACATGAACGTAGTTCCCATGCCCAAGCTTAAGGCCTTCCTCGATGCTTCGGTGGAGGAGTCTTTCACTGTTGAGCGGTGGACCGCCTGTCCGCAATCAGCTTCGTATCCTGTGCGATAACAAAATTGATGAGAATGCCGACAAGTGGATCCAGCCGGGCCGGGCCACGATTCCACACGAGGTCTTCTTGGACATCATCGCCCCGGCCTTCCCCGAGAAGTCATCCAGCCAAGACAAGATGGCCTTGTTGAAGCGCTCGCGTTGGGTTGTCAACACCAGCCTGGACCAGCCGGGCTTGCTATGTTCGTAAAGCTGGTACGGGCTCCAACCCCGTCCCACTTGTCCCATACCAAGATGGCATCATGGATTTCGTAGCCGACTCCGGCAAGGCGCTCTTGTCGCATGAAGTGTGGCGACAAGCGTCCACCATCTGTCTGGCTGGAGAAGTCTCACGACTTTGTCTCCATGGTGATCGAACAAGGCCTTACCCCTGACCGAACCTCAATCACACTGGAGAGATCCCTCTTTGACAACAGCACGCGCCGTGTCGAAAGAAAGCCCGACCTTCCCTTCTCTGGCCGGATTGTCGTGGACTTGGAGAGCACCGACCTGCTTCATCAAGCTAACGAACCTCCTGCTGCGTCTGGGACAGCCACTGTGCCAGGCATGCCTGCTCCATCATCTGCAAGTGTGCCTGACACCGTCCCATTCACTCCGGTTCCCATCAAGACAGAGCCCGGCGTCTTTCCATCCTTGTCCGCGGCTCCCGCTGGTGCTCCTCTCGACCTTGACACACCCAGCCCGAGACCTTCTCAGGCAAAGCGGCGTAGACTTCACGGCGACAATTCCGACTCTGAGGATGATGACGGCCTGCCTGGTTTTGGTGAAGCCCCAGAGGATGAGTGAACCTAAGCATTTCAGATTCTGAGTGAGGCTAAGCTCAGATTTTGTTTGTGATATAGTGTCCGTCTCACTACAGGTCAGTGCCACCAGTGCCAGCAGAACATCGTCCGCCTAAACATGCATCAGTCCCCACTCCTTTGGTCGTTCCGAGCTCTAGCCACCCTGTACTGTTGCTCCTCAGCGCGTCCCGCCGCCCAGAGCACTCCAAGGATCTTCCGCTCCCACCTCTTCAGGTGCCTTTGCAAAGGAAACCTTGCAGAAGCTCACAACGTGGACGCCACTCTCTGTAGCATGTCCGGCCCCGAGAAGGTCTCCGTTGCCACTGTCCGCTGTACCTCGTACTCTTGCAGGAGAACGTATGGCCCCAATTTCTACATTGATCAAACTGCCAAGATCAACACCCTACCAAATGTAGATGCTGCGGGGGAGGCTATATTCATCAGTCCCATGGTTGGCTTCACGGTGACCTACCTTCGCTACCACATGCTCTTGGAGTTCAGGGCATTCGCTTCAGCTCGAGCAGCGCTCGATGTGTGTAGCAGGGTATACGACATCGAGCACTGCAGTGGAGGTGGTCACTTCCGAGAGGTGCACGGCTCGGCGATTATGTACTTCATCGCTCTCAGTGAGTATCCGGCCGCATCGATTCCCATGTCTTTCGCCATCGGTCACGAGGTCACCAGTCAGTCCATTGAGGCATACGATCAGTATGTCCACAATCAAGCCTTCCCTCCGTCCAACAAGCGGACAATCCACGAGATTGTCTGCGATGGGCACGCGAAGGTTCACGTGAAATGCACCACCTTGCACAAAAAGCACCCGGGGAAGCCGCGAGCCAACGGCAAGCGGAAGCCATACGGCTACGGCTGGTTCATGGCCGTCGATCCCCGCACTTTGCGAGTGCTTGGAGTTTCGTGTCTTCACCAGCCGGAAGGCAATGAGGTCATGGACGGCATCCTCACATGGCTCCTGCCAAAGTATCCAAAGCTGGACGGCGTCGTCCTGGACAGAGCCTGTTCCTTCCTTCCGTATGCAAAGCGAACCAAGAAGTTTCCCCAGGTTGCGCACTGGTGCGTTGACTATTTCCATGGTGCCAAGCACAGTGACAGATGCCCTTGTAACCCACATCATGTGCGTCGTCTTGCCCGTCGTTTTGCAGATGTATATACTTCGGCGGCGGAACAGGTATTCTCCTGGTTCCGCCAGTACGCTAGAGTTCTAAACGAACTGTCCCCTCACCGGCATCAGATGAAAGTGTTGCTGTTTTGTAAGCTCCATAATGACTTGTGTAGAGACGGCCGGCCTGGCTACCTGAGCCAGTTCCCATACAAGCGCAAGAAGGTCTCGAAGTCATACAGCTGCAGCAAGAAGTGCCCCAAGAAGGCTACGAAGTGCCCAAAAGCTGCTCCAAAGAAGCGTCCTGCTACGAAGTGCCCAAAGGCTGCTCCAAAGAAGCGTCCGGCACGTAGAGTGTGAAGCTATATCAAGGATTGGCATAGACGAGGGGGGGGGTCAAAATGATTGCCCACAGCGTGCAATCTCTGCATGCTTCGGATTTATTGTACGGCTTGCCAACTTGATGCATCCAAGGTATTTCGATGACAAGCACATCATATTTGATTTGTCATATATATAGATAAACCTAGCATTAGGAATCCATGTTCCCGGTAGTCATACAACCAAATCTGTTAAAATAGTGGGTATGCAAAAACCCAGGCCCCATGGCAGGCCGCTCTCTAACAGTAACGCGCCAGCTTTGAAGGATGGCAAAAAACGTGCATGTGCCAGATTGGGAGTTTGGGATTGTGGTGCTCAGGGGGGGTGAGGGGATCTTCACGTTTGTTGTGCAGGAGCTGATCATCATCGCTCCTCCCAGCTTCCTCTTCGATGAGAGTGCTGGTGGCTGCGGTGACATGTGCTTGCAGGGAGCCCAGTCAGACTCAATATATGGCCGGTTGACCCTCAAGCCAAGCATTGCCACTACCCTGCCTCAAACCCCAAACCTAAATCCCAGCGCTCTATGTCAAAGTCGCATCCGCCCGTACCTAGACCTTAGCGCCCGTCGCTCTACATTACTAGCTCCCTAAATGCCGACCTCAAGCCCGAAGCACCTCTGCCCTACACGGCCCTTGGCCATACCTTTTCCAGATGAGTCCTATGGAGGAAAGGGGATAGCGGACAATTTCGGATAGTGCGGTTTTGGAGCATTATGTGGGAGCATCTGAATTTTGATGCTATGCTATAATGTTATTCATATCAACCCTCGATGGGGGTTTCCCAAAATTAGTGGTACCTTTTTGGGGATCCCTACAATAAGGACTATGAGTATATATTGGGGTCTATATTGGGGTACCCTAATTGTGGGAAACTACCATATGTGGTCTTCTCCTTGTTTTGATCACTTCCTAATTTCTTGCAAGGCCTGGCGAGGCGTTAAGTTCCACCAGCCGCAAGCCCGGAGCCCAGTGAACGTGCCCGGTTATTATTTTAAAGTATGATATCATACTGTTACTACTATTATTACATATTATTATCATTACTGCTACTATTTCTATTGTTAGGACTCCTATCACTGCCAGTTCTATACTGCTGTTATTACTATTATCCTTCTGTTTGGGGATCAGTTCCGCAAGGTTGGTGATGGCATAGGGAGGTTTAGGCTTTCTTGTTTGGAGAGCAGTGCTCCATTTCTAGCTGGGGATGGCCTTTCTTGGTGCAAGAGGGCCCCCTATGCGGAGGGAGTAATGTCCTGTTAAGAGCCCAATAATAAGCTTCTACAAGTAGTTGGAATGACGAACCTTCGGATTCTTGGACGGAAACATCATGGTAATTAGGGCCTACTGGGTTTGTAGTAGGGGTGTGGGCTGAGAGTTTGCGGTTCTAAGGCGCACGAAACGTTGCAGTCCGTAATTCAACATGAGGAGCTCCATGTCAACTTTGGTGGCGCGTCACCTTCCAAATGCCAGAGTGGTGAGTAATGCTTCTGATAATGAAGATGAGGTACTATGTAGGAACAACTCAAGTATCTCTAGATGCAGGTTGCTGCAGTTGTCTTGCATCTGTGTAGTTGAGTAGTCACGTCTTCCGTGGTGCTGCTCATGCTGTTGTGGACGCCTCTGTCATCATTGCTTACAACGTTCGCTTTCAATGCCTAACGATCGATCTGTGAGATTTCAGCGATTTGAGGGCACCCTGGCCCTTTGGTTCCCAAAAATCCCGATTTCATATCATCCCTTTACAAAAGGAAGGGACGCTGAAGAGGTCCGCACTTCAGGCAAGGATCAAGTTTATCAAAACAACTGCAGCAAAAATCCTGAAGAGGGATCCATGTCTCTTTATCTTCCCGTATCACCTTTATAACTCCCCCTAGAGGCCGTATCCTGGACCTCAGCGGGTACCCCCTCCATGTATCTGAGGACAGCCACCATTGCCTCGCCTACCGGCGAACCGCTGACGCAGCTCAGAGGGATCCAGCCGGGGACCTGAAATTAATTTTCACGCTTATTGCTTTAGGCTTTAGGGTTCAGGGGGCTTTGGGGTTTAGGGGCCTTGGATTCAGGATTCAGGGTTTACTTAGGGAAGTGAAGCCTTTTCAGTGCCTGGTCGGGAATGGTGGAATGAAAAAGGGGGAAACCACGTTGTTCAGGGTGTTAGTTGGGAGTGAGGGACCGGAAAGAAATGGAACAGACTGTATTGTTCAGGGTTTAGAGTCTAGGGCTTGGTTGGAAATGGGTTATGGAGAAACAAAGCTGGGAGACTGTTATGGGTTTAGGGCTTGAGGCTATTGGTTTCGGGTTTCGGAATGAGTGATAAGTTGGATACCGACCCCACTCAGTAACAGTTGGAGAATGAATACATATATACATATATACATTTATATTTTGGTTAGATATAGCCCTTGTTATGACCCCTAGTATAGACTGTTACCGGGTGAGGGCAGTACCCAAGTGATAGTTTAGAGGGATGATTGCAGGCGAGGTTGAGCAAGGGGTACTCTGACATCCATTGCCACACTCTCAACTAGGGACGTGTGGAAAAGGTTGTCAGGGGTCAACCCTAAAACCCTAACCCCTAAACCCCAAAACCCCAAACCTAGAGCTCAGGATGTTAGAGCCCTTGGTGAGTTAGGGCTAGAATAAAACTAGATGTTCTGCGCTGCTGGGGCTTCAGGACAATGCAGTCCACTCTGCTACTACCGTTCAATAGGCCCCTTCAAGAGATGCTTCATTGTGAAGCTAATGTGGCCTCCTGGTCCATGAAGTTCGCGATAGCAATGTCATACCGCGTTGTTTGCGTCTGAGTCCAGAAGTTGACAACTGTCGGGGAACTCCTTCATCAAGGCCTTGGAGAAAAACCCTGACTTGTTGGCACGTACCCACCTGCTTGCATGGGCGGTCCTTCCTAGGGTGCGGGTCCTGACGCCCGAGCAGACTCCCAGCAGCCGGATCCTCAGTAGACTGTGATGCCATCAATGCCACGACTGCTGCTGCTGCTGCTGCTGCTGCTGCTGCTGCTCATACTGAGCCAAGGATAACAAGGCAACCTGTGATGGTAGCTGTACCAAACACTAGTAAAGGCAATAATAGCATGAGCAGTCTGGAGGCGCCCCAGGTCTGGGATGCACATTTAATGCTTCGTGAGACAACATTGCTCCTCACCTTAAGGAACTCAACAATATGTTTTAGAGCTGCTCACATTCCTGAAGTCTAGCTCTTCCAATACCTGATCGTGCCAGTGTGGAATTCCTTCCAAGTATTCCTGGCAGATCTATACATGTGACGTTGGAACGTGGGGTAGCCCGGCCTGTCTGCAGAGCGAAGCATGTGGCCCAAAAGTCCGACCCTGAAGTATGCCCATCTTCGTAGCCGGCGTGCCCTGTGCAATGAACCATCACAGCATGCCAACGCGCGCAAAGCATTTGCATGGACCTACATACCAGTTCCTCAGAGCAACCCCTATGCGGAGTTGCACTGTGCAGAAAAGGAACTCCCAAAAGCACCTTCATAATCCCTAGGCCCTATGCACATGTGCGCATTGTATTCTCAGGAACTGGGATGTTGTGAGTCTCCCAGATGTGCAGTGCCAAGGCATGACGTGGTACGTTGAAGGCCGCGGCCAAGGCGCTGGCACGACCGTCGGCTGGGGCGAAGGCTGACAGCTTTCCTTTCCAGAAGTCTAGTGAAAGGGAGTCAGAGGGTCATAGCGTCTAGGTTTTGGGGTTAGGGAGTTTGGCGTGGTTATTCCTAGCAGAGCATGAGTAGCAAGTTTGACTGATGGTAGAATTGCCGGTCTAGTGCGTTTCCAGTCACTTGCGTCGGTCAGAAGTGGCTACCCTGCAGCACATGTTTCATGCACATGACTTATTGGCTTGCTTGCTCAGGTGCAGGCTTCTTTGTCACGCAGATGGCTGGTACAAGCGTCATGTGACCCGCGGCATCAGATGCACGCGATCTCTGACGCAACACCTCATTTCAATTTCACCTGCTTCCCATTCATGTAGCCGCCCGCCAGGTATCCGGCTGTTGCAAGCATCACGCAGGCACAGATTGCGTGCTGGGCTCACTTGCTTGGGATCGCTTGCTTGTGCTCACTTGCTTGCGCTCACTTGCTTCGAGATGCAACATTGTCAGGCGCAATTAGCGTATGCCAGTCTGTTTGGAAAGTCTTTTGCCTGGAAGATGCAAGTGGCTTTGGATCCTATCTTCCAACCTGGGCGCGGCGTGCGTCTACAAGGTTTACCTTTGCCCTGAACGTCAACGCGGGGAACCAGATCAACATTGAAGCTCCACCGGGCTTCATCCTGACCTGTGCGCACCTCAGCGGGCAGGCTCGCGCAATCTCTGCGACATGACGCGATATATTATAGTATATTATAGTAGGTTATAGTATATTACTATTATAGTATATTTTGGTATATTACGGTATATTATAATAGTATATTATGGCATATTTCATGTGTTTTTTGTCCTCAGGTTCCACAGAGGGCGCGCTGAAGCAGATCAGCCTTCCTGGTGGCAAGTGCGGGTACTTACAGTGGCGGAGCCAGTTCAAGAGAAAACACCATATGACTGCCAAGATCCTCACAATGCTGACTTGAGGCTTCACAGCACTATTATGGCAGCCGCGCGAGTTGATTAGAAGAAGAATGCACATGAGCAACATAATCATGCACCGCTTCCCTTGCATTGCAATTTAGTCTTTAGTTGCCTATTCAGATATGGCACTCGCCTTGAGCACCACGTCGTGCAACTTGCTGCTGCTACGTTTGAGGCTTTTGTTGGGTGTAAGGCAGGTTTCTACCAATGCTTGCCAAGCAAGACTTTCTCAAGCCCACCTCTAAACTCTAAGCCCACTACGCCGAAGCTTTGTAAGTCTTACGCTCTGCAGGTTGCTGGAGTTTTCAGTAGAAAATGCGCTAACCGGAAGCCCCAGCATGGATAATGGCTGAAGCCAAATTTCCTTCAACGATTGTTTGCAGTTTAAGGTTTATGGTTTAGGGTTTAGGGGGGCTGAGGCCGGATTGCATTGACGATCCCTTGCAGATTCGCCTGGCCGAGTCCTCAGAAGCTCATATCAATCCCAAAACTCTAGATACACGGATACTTCTTGAAAGGGACCTAGGATTTCCACTACGTTCTGCATTTTCTTTTCCGCATGATTCTCCATTATTCCGTAGTAGCAAGGTCACGAGAGACCCGACGCGCATGACGTAGAGACCGCTTAGCCAATTTTCGTGGGAAGAACAGGACATGTCGGTCTGCGTCAGGGTCGTGTGGGAATGGCGATAGCAATCCCTTGCTAGCTCTAAGCTAGTATGTGGTCGTCTTTTGTGGGAGGGGCACACCTCCGCCAGTTAGTAGAATTTGAAGTCATCGCGCAGTCTGCTTTGCAAGCCGATGCTGCCTCTACTTGCGCACAGCTAAGGGAACAACGCTGACAGCCGATCAGTATGCCGCCTGCTCAGTGCCAAGCAATTGTCGCAACGACCTTTGCTTCTGGTTCTAAGTGCTGTCATGGTGGCTATGGTTGCATCTGCCGCTGGCATTTACATCACCATCATCGTGTGCACCAACTCAAGCACTCAGAGCCCAAGCCAGCGAAAGCTGCATGGACCATGTTTCACACCTCGACAGCGATCCGCGCTGCTGAGCCACCAGAATCGTGCCATCATGCTGGATCGGTAAACGCTGGTGGACTAGGGGCTACCTGTTTAAGCATCATTTTGTGGGTCAGCATATCATATGTACACATATCATCATATGTCTGGACATGTTTTCAGAAACGCCCATATCTTGCAGTCTGGGCTGAGGCCTTTGCTTTGCTAGTAGACCTGCCTCCGGACCAGCCATCTGTCAGCGAGCTCAGATCCTTCAGGTACTCATGGAAATATTGGGATAATGGAAAATAAAATGGAAACTGCTACAATGGGTTTAGGGTTTAGGGTTATATTAGGGTTAATTAGTATTGGGGATAATATTGGGAAAATGGAAAATAAAATGGAAACTACTATCAGCTAGGTATCATCTTGTTTGCTATTATTAACATAGCGCATCTGGAGTGTTGTTGGTTCGTGAATGGTCGTAGCAGTTATTGGTAGATTTTTGCAACATCGCAGTATTGTGGTGGCGCAAGGGTGCAGTGGTACTGGGCAGTTACTCAGGACAACACATTCAGCGTCATCATTCGTGACCAGGACGCCAAACCTTTGCGAGAAGCAGGCAAAGTTTACTGTACTGGCATGAGAAGGAGGAGTGGATAACTCTCGCATTTCCAATTGGATTTGCGCATGCTCGAGGGAGGGCCCTGCTCCTGCCTTACTGCCTCCTATACACGAAATTAGCAACTGCCCCCCGTGCTCCAGGACAACAATGTGGTGGATGCAGCGTGCCTTCCTTGAAATGATGCTCAGCGTTGCACTGCGCTTCTTCGTTATGACAACCACTTGCGTTTGCAGTCGCTTGAGAATTCCAGCGCACGCACCCCTATGGCAGAAGGCATCTGGAACAGGTCAAAGTAGGTCTCATACGGCAGTTCCAGAAATTGGACTCATGAAGCACAAGTGCCTACTACAACGCATGCCAGCACCACCGGAGCCATTTGTTTCATTGTAAGCCATACCATGGTCGTAGTGCCCACATGCTTTAGTCGCATGCCTAACCGGGAAGTCACCAGAAATTTTGCCAACAATAGCCACCCAGCATGTGCTAGAACTTCGCAGCAGAGTTAGTGGGCCTGAGTTTCAGCTGAACAGGTACTCCATCCAGGGCAAGCCCTTCGTGATCATGGGGGTCACCGATCCTTACCTCGACTGGTGGGCAACTTAAATGGTTGGCAGCAAGTTGATTTGCTTGGAAAGAGGCAAAGGCGGTCTTTGCTAGTGTAGCATTTCCTGATCTCGATTGTTTGATGACAGCAGGGTCTTGGCTTGCACTTTTTGGGGTTGTGGGGGCACTGCTGTAAGTCTTTGAAAGGGTCGGGGCCTCTTTTGCTTTAGGATCTTGCGAGTGAAGGGTGTAACATCCAGCATAACATAGCAGCTGCAGATCGACCACCCCAACTCTTGTGAATGGAAGTCTTTCGATGAACGACAGACAAGTTCCTACATCCATAATCATCATCATTATCATCAACATCATCATTGTTCTCATTGTCGTTATTACCACTTGTATTTTCATTATTCGTACTACTTGGAGGGTCGGGGGACCTTTCAACTTGGGCTAATACTGGGGATAACTGGGGGTGCTATATGGCTTATAGCGGTTATAAGTATACTTACTAAGTCCCCCTGACCCTCCAAGCATTGTTGCTATTCATTACTATCGAAATTATTCTTTTTATTTCCGTTGTCATCATTCTTCTTATCATCATTATTATCATTAAGCTGTGTCATTGTGGACCGCCGAAGCCTTCAGGTCGCAGGCCGAGCCGGGACAGCGGACCCAAATCACGAGCCTGAGCTGCAAACATGTTTGGGATCTTCGTCTTGAGGCCTATTATATGGGCCTACATCCTTGTTTTGAGGCCTACATAAGGCACTATAAGGGCCTAAAGAAGTAGCAGTATTATGCTTCTATGCTTAGGGTACAGTGTCCCTCAAATAGACTTCCACATGATATTGGTAATCACTTGAGCCCCTAGGGTAGTCGATCCGGAGATCCACTTGGAAGAGATCGCACAACTGAAGCCCGAAACCCTAAACCAAAAAAACCTGCCTCTGTTGGTCTGTGAGCGATGATCGGCTTGTGTTCGTGGGTTTCAACAAGATACCTGGCTCTGCGAGCCCAATTTGCTACATGTCTTCTGCGGCCTCCTGAATTCTCCAGCGCAACCTTGGCATTCCAGCTGGTACATCCCTAAATCATATCCCTGTTCAACCAAGGATAGGCATGAAATTCACGAAGGACACCTCCAATGTCAAGGCCGAGCATGTTTTATTGCAAGTAGCTCTAAGCACCTTAAGCCTGCTGGTATGCCAAGGCAGGAGTCGGCCTTTGGGCTTAAGCGCGGTTTGAGCGTTGACAGTTCTTGCCAGAGCCTTCTGATCCCAAACAAAATTTGGTAGTAAGTGTACAGCGTGCTCAGGTGGAACGCTTAGAGGCATGATGCAGAGCAGTAGCAGTATCAGCACCTCGGGAGCAGGCCGTGCTGATCATGCTCCCGGAACGCTTCATCCACGACGTCCAGACACCCACGGACGTGCAGAACGTGAATAAGTCCTGCCCCAAGTCTGCGGTGACGTGACTTCAGGATGTTGAGGGACCAGGTCCCAGAGGAGCTGAAGCAACTAGAACATTATTTCTGGATCAATATTGGGGATCCTTTATACTGTTTGGGGTATGGGATTCCTTATATTTATGTAACAAGGATCCTTTTTTCTTCCTGAGAGAATGTGGGCTAAGATTTTTTGGGCAGATTCCTGGCTACATGATGCACAACGAGCCCTGGGCAAGGACTTCAAAGAATCACTAGAATCACTGTTTAATTGCTACCCCATTCCTGGCTCTCGGCCTACAAATGCGGAGCTTACCTACTTTGACTTACTGGTTGTTCGTAGGGAAAAGGGGAATATATGGGGAGTATATAGGAATTATATTTCATTACTTTCTACTAATCCCCAGCAAGTTGATGTAGATTGTGGGGTTATCGATTGCGCTTTCTACTCGTGGCTGAATCCTCACAAGTCCACCCAGAAACAGCACAAGCTATTTCGCCGGAGCACGCCCGCAGAGGGGGGCGAGGTTTTTCTGAATCCACCTGACATCACTTTAGACTGTGAACCTTGTTTTTTTTTTTTTTCTCTGTGGTTGGTTTCAGCCACATGGGGGTACTTTCCACAAGTTGCCCAATACTTCCGAATTCAGATGTGTTCCCCAAAAGCAGTTCTGGACACTGTGGAAGCACTAGGCAGTCTTATACGAGGAACTGCCCTGTCAATATTAGGGCTAACAAGAGGATCTCAGGGGTTCCCTGATACTATTCGAGTTCCTCAAGTACCCACCAATATCCAACTGATTACGTCAAGGAGTATTGACTACAGCTAACGGGCGTGATCCTTATAGATGGCTGCTCACCTGCAATCCCTGGGGAGGCAGTTCCGAGTAGCAGCAGGATCAGACTGGGCCTCGCACCCAGAGATTCTACACTCCCCCAGACTAACATGGAAACCCATATAGTGCCCTTTTAGAAGGACTGCAGTCTTTATAGGGCCCTTTTTGGGCTTCCATGTTAGTTTCCGGGAGTGTAAGACATTCGGTGTCCGCCATAGTTCGTCGCCCCCTAAGGCCCCGATGGTGATTATAATCGCCCAAACAACGAATCTTTCTACAATGGTAGATAATTAATGGTGCTGTATTGGATCATCTGGTTTCAGGGCAATCTCCATTGATGTCTCTTAGGGAGTCTGCATTGGTTCTCGGGCAGAATCCTGCATGAGAATAGATACATACAGGAGGGCTGCTTTGTAGGGCCTGTATGGGTCCCAGCTTTTTAGAGGAAGGAGCCTCCTTTCCCGTAGGGGAAGCTGCGTTAGGTGAAGCTTTTCTGTTTTTTCCCCCATATTTTGTCACGTGTAGATATATCGGAAATACCTGCAGACACACGAAAAACGATGGCAGCTGACGCATGTTCCAGCTCCTTGCGTTCACACGGGCTGGTGGCCGTGGCTTAAAAGCTGAAGCCGCGCGTGATGGAGTCGAAGCAGCTCCATTTGATATTTTCCCAAAATTAGGGGTACCTTGTTGGGGGTCCCAAACAATAAGGATCATAGTATATCATAGTATTTTGGGGTCTATATTGGGGTCCCCGTATTTAGGGAAACTACCAATTTATGGAAGCTTCAGGTAACTAGCACCCACGCAGATTTGGAGTCCCGTCAGCCTGACCCGTTCCAGAACAAGGGGGTAAGACGCTTCATGACGCACTGACTTTCTTCTTAAGCCCTCCGAGCTTGCAACGTTTTTTGCATGTAACGAGTTGGGGGCTTAAGAAACCCTAAACCCTAAGCACCAGGCAGACACCCAGTACACGGACCGCATCAAGATTTACTTGGACGACAGCGGTGGTGGTGCCATCATTCCGGTGGGCGAGTACCGGCTGGAAGCTGAGAACGTGGGGTTTGGTCTAGGGTTTAGGGTTTAGGGTTTGGTTGTGACTCTCACTGATGAGTTCGCCTTTTGTTGCATTGCGACTGTTCAACTGTCATTGTTCAGTTCATTCACAGATTATGGCCAGCAGTTCAAAGCGAATATTCCGAAGAAGGCCTTTCTCGGGCATTGGACCGTGCAAGCTTGCTTAGATGGGTGGCAGTCCAAATTGATAGTACGGTCCCGGAGGCAGAGTGAGTTTCTGTTCCTTGTCTGCCATGTTAGATGAAGGGACTCTACTGGGAACCCCAAATAGGGAACCCCGAGAATATAGTAGGTATATAATAGGACTATACCTACCAGGGTCCTTATATTCCATTATATTCCTGCTATATTCTTGGGGTTCTTTATTTGGGGTTTCCAGTAGAGTCCCTTTATAGGAATGAGGCTTGCTTTTCTGTGTTTCCCGAGCAACAAGTCACCACACAGCTGTGCTATCCAACCATGATTGGCATTTCTGAGCTTTTCCCGTGAGAGCTACATAAAACCCAAAGCATCATCCCTCAGAAGCTTCAGAACCCCAAGGGCCTAGGGTTTAGGTTTTGGGGTTTAGGGTGTAGGGTTTAGGGTCTAGCTTTTAGGGTTTAGGGTTTAGGGAGAGGCAGAAACCAGTGAGGAAAGAACAGCTCACTGTTCGGAGAGTGTCGCCATGGGATTTCATGAATGAACAGACCCGTGCGTAAATAGTAGGTTACTGGGCTATGAAACTCTAGGGTATATAGAACCCAGTTCCCATTAAATTACTTAGGTAACTGGAGCCCTAGGGATTCTACAATCCCCCAAGCCCCGATCCGTAAGGCAGGAACCTACAGCCAGGTGATCCCTAGTATACCCCTAGATATCCTCATATATCCTTATTTTTCCGTTATATCTCCCTCTATATCCTTATATATATACCTGTACATCCCTAATATACGCCTATGTATCCTCATATATCCCTATAGATCCCTAATATACTCCGATATATCCTTATATATCCCCATACATCCTTAATACAGCCCTACATATCCCTTCATATATCCCTATGCCTATAAATCCTTATATATCCCTATACATCCCTAATATACCCCCGTATATCCTTGTATATCCTTATACATCCCTATATATCCCTATGTAGCCTTATATAGCCATCCCTATATACCCATAGATATATATAAATTTATATCCTTCTAAATCCCTACATATCACTATGGATACCTATTTATCCCTATGCATCCCTATAATCCCTGAAGTCAACCCCTTTGACTTGGAGGTTTAGTTTCCCAGCTCTGGTACCGCCCAGCATGTCGCAGCCTCAGAATCCTCTAGAGCAGGCTTCAGGCTGTAGAATGGAGGGTTTAGGATTTTGGATTTGGATTTATTGGGCTGGGATGATTCAGTGTGTTGTAGGACTTGAGGCTTTTGTAATTGGGATTTTGGATTCAAAGTTTAAGGTTTGGGAGCTTGATTTAGGGCTCTGGCTTGTGTACTTTCGGACTTTGAATGTAGGCATTAATGAAGGTTTAGGATTTGCAGTTTGGGATTTTTGGGCTGTAGAAGAGGGCATCTCACAATGTTACAAGTCTGAGATTTCCTGGAGGGAAGTGTTCTGGATTTTCAACATAAGAGGTTCCTTTTGGGATCTCTTTTCAGTGGACCCTCACTCTCATACATCCAGCTGTGTTTAGCCAGAGGGTACGAATCCCTCAGGGGACTGACATGAGCTGTAGTCTAAACTCCTTAAAGGGGGTTATATAGGGGATTATATGAGGGATTACAATAGGGGTTATTAAGGGGGATACTAGGAGTTTAGACTATAGCTCACATGGATTATGCCAAGTTTTGTTGTTTTCGATCGTTGCTCTGATGCGCCTCGCTGGGCTCTCGCCTTGAAAGTTGGTATGAGGTAGGGTTTAGGTGGACCCCCCCCCACCCTGTAATAGTGGTATAATAAGAGTATAAGAGGACCCTAAAATAATACCTATTATCCCGTGTAGTCACTATTACTGGGTGGGGGTTCCACCTAAGGTAGGGTTCGATAATATTTTTCGGTGTTCTTCAGGAATATTGGTCAGTGTAGATGTTGGGTGTCCAATTGGGGAGACCATGAATAAAGCCTCATAAGATCTAGGAGTATGGGAAGTACTCCTGGAAATGCGAACCATGATCAAGGTGCTACCTCGTAGCAGAAGGACTGGAAGCAATCCAGGGTAAGACATGCAAACGCTGCAGTTGGGTTCCAGGGGACTTGAAGTTGTAGCACAAGATGGTATCCTAGGATTTCTCGCGGTCTTTTGAACTTCTTGTGCTTACGGGGAGGCGCCTTATTACAGTAAGGATTTATACGGCATCTGGGGCACTGCACTGCAGAGTTCGGATATCTCGCTGCCTGTGTTGCATGGTGCCCCTTCGTGCAAGCAAAATATCGAACGCTGTCAGGTCCAACAACAATTACTGGTCAATTTCTTTGCGGAGCCCTCAGATGCACTTGCACTGCCAGGGTCGGCTGTCTTCTTTCAGTTCGACAGAAGTGTGCTGGGTCTTGGTCGGCTTCTGTGTTTTCCGAGTAATGGTACCCAGTGGAGCACAAGCGCCCATGAAGGTGCAATGATCGGGATTGTCAGCAACCCGACGATAGGCCTGCTGCCGACCACGGCTTTCTACCATCCAGCCAGTGAACGTTCATATGGCCAGTCTGAGCCGGTAGCCTGCTGCGAGGTATATCATTGTGAGCTTCCCGATTGCTGGCTTCCAGCTCTACGAGATGTCTCAGGAGGCAAGATGTGGCCTCAGCCTTTCTTTCCCGGAGTAGCTATGATCTCCATTTTTCTCAGCAGTGCAGGGCATGGCAGATGCGTAGCTCTTGTTTTGCCTGGTCACCCAGCCTTGGCTGCAGACACTTCGTGTCACTACGAACTTCGCCACGCGCATAGCGCGACCCAGCGGAGAGGCCTGGACGGGCTGCAAGTGCCCATACTTGCTTGGGTCTCTTTTTTGGGGCAGAACACAGAAAGTAACAGGATGACATTGTGCCATGTGATTTGCTTTTCATGACTGCAGCATGACATGTCTTACAACGTGGCATGGAGGTCCTCATTTCGATGTTTGCGGTAGTCTTAACTTTGCTCAGACCGCTGCTCCGGGCTCAGCTCAGCTCCATTTGCGGCAATCCACTGTGCTTCCCAGGGTTGCTGGTAGGGAGCGAAGGAATCAACAAAAAAATGAAAAACTACTATGTAGGGGCTAGGAGTCTGTAGAGATCGTGTCTTGGGCCGCCTCAGTCTTGAGATTCTGCAGCGTGGGTGTATGGAAAGCTTGCTAGCCTGTTGCATCCGATTCCGATTCCCAAAAAATGGTGAGCCGCCCCGCACTGGAGCTACAAAGGGGATTTGGTGGTTTCCTACAATTGGGGGGTTACCATTTCTGGGGTCCCCATAATAAGGATTATAGTATTTTGGGGGGTATATTGGGGTACCCTCATTGTGGAAACTTCCATGTAGCCCCTATAATCCCTGTAGTTTCCATTTTCTTTTCCAGTATCCCTCTATAACCCCTGGCCTCTATTATACCCCCCCATATTATACCCCCATATTATGATTCTAGTGTTTTTGGGGGCATATCCTATATATAGGGGTACGCATATTGTGGGAAAACTACCATTTTCTCATGACTCATACTGGGCTCATGGTGGCAAGTAGCAACATCAAATGATTCGCCGGTGTGTCTGGAGAGGAAGAGATTTAGGGTTTAGGATTTATAGGGTTTGTAGGGTTTATAGGGCCTATGGATACAGCAATAAGTCAATTGTGCAGCAAGTCGTGGGGGTCAGGAGTTTTTGTCAGACGCTTGCAGATGGCAACAAGTTTTACTGTAGCCAACTAGGCTTAGGGTTTAGGTCTGCTGATGTGTCAGCGGTTTCAGTCTAGTAGACTTCAATTGTGAGAGTCTCAGTCCTGCAAGTCGCTCTTCTGGGATAGTGAAAGGCCCAAATGCTCCATCCATGGTACAGTTGATAACTGTCTCTTTCAAGCTCTCATGATTTTCAGGGATTAGCGTTCTTGGAGTCTTTGGTAACTTCAGCAGTTATTGTAAGACTTCAGGCTCCTGTACCGTCATCCCAGGCGATAAATTGCAAGCGCGGCGTCTCGCCTCAAACGAGGCTGCGCGGGTAACCCCTACAAGGGTTTCTCAAATTTGGGGGTAGGTGTATTTTTTTGGGGGGGCCCTTATAATGAGGCTCATCCTGTGCTGGGATCTACTATCGGGGTCCCCCTATTTGGGCAAACTACCATATATGTGGCGAGCTATGAAGATTATGAGGAGAACGTGTGGGATCCACTATGACGGATCCTGTTGCGATAATCTTGAGGAATTCCCATGCTTGCGGGGTGCTATCAAAATCGTGGTTGCCAAGGGGAGATCAGGCATGAACACCGGGTGTCGGGAATCTTATGGCAACTCAATACAACGCAGGGAATACCCATTTCATAACCAGCGCATATTCTGTAGTCCTTTATTAAAAAAATTAGGAGACACTCGTGTTTCGCGCCTACCTAGATTCAGTATCAGACTCCCTTCTCAAATTTCTAGCAATTCAGCTACGATCTTATACCCGTCACTTACACAAGAGTCATTGGCTGTAGCTCACATGGGCCATGCCCGAAGTTAGCAGCTTTATTTTGGCACCCTGTGTAGAACATCACTCCACGTTTGCTGTGCAACAGTGCTGCCTCCGTTTTGAGCGTGATCTAACATATTTGCAGGCTTCCGTGTTTTTTCTCAGATTGGATCTTGGATGGGCGCTTGATCTAAACTGCCGGGTCTTTGCGGCAGTAAATCTGCCCACTGCTTGAACCAGGGTCGCTGATGCTGGGTCGGTTCTGCTTTGATGGGAAGTGTGGATGATTGGTGGTGCGGCGTTTCGTAGCTCCGCGTGGTTACACATAGCGGGGTTTGAGATTGCCTTGCATCATGCCAAGCCTTCTGCAAACAAGTCAGGTGGCCACCATCACTCAATTCCTGATGCTTCCATCTTCTCTGGACCTGCACCCACTTTAGATCATTTGCTTGTGTATGCCTCGGTGCGGTCATGTGAATTACATGTGAACGCGATTTGGAGCAAGCCCAGCCTGCCTGCTTGGCAGCTCAGACCTCACAAAGCTGCGACAGTGTGTAAGAGGTCCAGCAGGGTCAGGCCACTCGGAAGATGGACGCGAAGGGGAATTCACTGGATGCGATTTTGCTGTCCTCTGCCATGGACACCAGGTACAAGTGAATGGTTCGATGTGGCTCAAGAAACATGTGCCGAAGACAGCAGCTTCGATGATTGCAGAGTCTGTTCTAATTCCAGCAAGTGAATTGGACTGAATGCACGAGGGACAGGGGGTGACGTGCTTTCTAGCAGGAGGATCTAGGAGGTGTACAATGGTACTGAGATGGCAGCTAGGGCCTCAATGCATCAGTGGCAGTACTGTTGCCCCTAAACCCTAAACCCTAGTTGTTGCATTATCCTATATAACCCCTATATACTACAGCAGTTTCCATATTCTTTTCCATCTATCCCTGTATAACCCCAGTATATTGTCCCTTGACACGTCATCTCCTGGCTCATCAACATGATTGGCTCTCGGACTGTCCCAGTCCCCAATGCAGAGCTCATCGTTTGGCTCAGATTGACTGCGTGCTTGGGGCTGTTCTGACAGACTGTGATTATGTGCTTCAAGGGCGTTGATAAACAAAGGAACATCTGTTTTATAAGACCCTGCTTGGTCATGCCCAAATTTGCAATGCGCGTATGCAGCTGGAATGAACTTCAGAATATTTCAGTAGTGGCCACACCTCGCAGTACTGTTGCGAGATTGCTGCGGCAATGATACCCCCTATTCAGAAATAGCATGCTTCTGAGGCAGTCAGAGCATGCCCCCGAAGCCTTGCACTGCAGTCACTTGCAAATTTTAAGCTGCCCACACCAGAATTCGGAATAGGCAGCTGCTGGTGTGTTGCAGCTGACATGTGCCCAAGAAGGCTAAGTAACACGAACAGGGATACATGACTATATATATATATATACAGATACAGATGTATATCACTACCACAGCCTCTTTGCAACAGAAGTCGGTTGTATGGGCCCTTGCAAGTGGGCATGAAGTTCGGCAACCCCCACATCGGTCAGTGTGCGTGTGTCGCACTAGCGCCCGGTCTCACAAAGTCTTGAGTGACGCACAGTGATGTGGGAAAGGGCTGGGCCAAGTGTTGGTAAGCCCTAGCCAAAGCTCCTCAACCAAATCCTCGCTGCTTGGCAGCTAAAACCTGGAGCCCACTTTCACGCATCAGGAACGGCCCTAAGGGCCCTGATAGACACTCATTCAAGAATGTCTTTGCGTGTGCCAAAGCAATAGAGGAGCAAAAACATGCCATGAGCTTCCATCAGTGAGCTTCGGGTGTGACTATTAAAATCAATTAAAATTTCTTACAAGGCTCATCCATGTGCTGTTCTGAGTCGTGTTGAGAATACAGATGTTCCTGGCATGCCTGCGCTCTCTTCAGCCCTCACTCGATATGAGTCGAAGCAAGACGTCAGCCGTCAACCCTCGCGGAGCAAGTACGAACACAGAATATCATCTAGTGCAAAGTCTTAACATGCCTTGACAAAGCCTCTCTTCTTGAAGCGCTCCGGCCAGAAGCTAAACAGCACTGAGTGACCGCCATTCCCAACTGCCGTTAAGCCACACCTCGCACGACTGCAAAGCCGTTGCCCACTGCCCTCAACCTCAAAAGAACCAGTCTTAGTCTTAGCAGGACCACCCAACAACCCCATCTGAGCTATAGTCTGAGCTCCTACCCTGCAGTAGTCCCCTATAATATAATCCGTTACATAACCCCCTTTACGGAGTTTAGACTACAGCCCATCTGGCCTTCATAGCCATAGCGAGTCAGCCATGGATGATGACTTGGAGCGTGCTGCCCGAAAGCACCGCTTACAGCAGCGCCATGGAGCTATTCGAGTTGTTGCCTCAGGGCCTTCCTATAATCCCCCTATGTGAGCTGTAGTCGAATTTTTTAAGTGTGTTACATAGGGATAATGTGGGGGAGTATTACAGGGGCCTATGAAGGAGTATACCAGGAGTTTAGACTATAATATGATAGGTCATAGAAATTTGTCCCGTATTCCTTGCTACAACCCCAATATACACCCTAATTAGAATGTAGTAGCTCCCATTTTCTGTTCCATGGGGCCTTCCCATAGCTTTCCGTAGGGCGCCGGAAGATCTTTGGGCCGGCTTGCAATTTCAGACCATTGGAATACGCGCAGAAGTCGAGATATGCCGTCAATTTCCCGGTGAGCGTAGCATGGTTTTGCGTGCCGACAGTATGAGGCGGATCATCAATGATCATCATTGCTTGTTAATATCAGGAGTGTTCCAGGGAAAGCGCAATGGAATGCTTGGGAGGAACCCCCACTAGTCGATCCTTTTCTTGTCCCCCTATACCCCTGGGGTTTCCAAACGGAGAAATACCCTAAACTCTCATCCCTGCCTATCCGCATATGAGCTACTGTCAATATTAGCCTTGACTACGTTTCACCCCAACGCCTGTGGCCGCCTGTTATTGTCGAGACAATATTAGCCTTGTTAACAGACCAGTAACAGTGGACATAGGGGTCCCTCGTTTAGTT